GGGGGCGCTCAGTATTCCCTTGCCCTTCCGCTAGGCCGCATACGTCTTTAAAAAAAGTCCCAAGGCAGAGCACTAACGCCCGACTTGATGACGACGACGCTAAATTTTGAGGTTATGTGACATGTTTAATGCTGAATAAATCTGCAGAGAATAGACCACTTCTTAAACTAGTTTGATTTCAGGCTACGGTCGGTCTCTAGACAAATGCTGCTACAGATAGAGTCACATACCTATTCTCTCCAAACAATTATTATCTCGACATTCGTGAAATCTTTCCACTTAGTTCCTAGCTTTTTAACCTCTACAGCTGAAACGGCGTAAATAATCTAAGAACCAACCATTTGTTTCTACACATATTCATGCTAACGTTGCCATGTAGTGGTTTGCTTAATAGTTTGCATACTTTTTCGTTGGGTGATATGCAAAAACTAGACAAACTCTGTGAAAGCCAAAATAAGATTCAAAACAAAACAGGGCAGCCAACTGTAGTTATTTGCTTCGTACTCGGAAAGTAGCAGATTGAAATCCTAATTGGGATCACATCCACAGTAAACCAAAAATCACTTCACAAAATGTCCCCTGTCTAAGACATAGTAAACGCATGAAAATGACCGCCCTGATGATGGAGGCAGTATGACCTCCGAAACGTTGGTTAACATCGACCAGACTACACAGCGCAACAACCCAGAAGACAGAAATCTTTATATTAAGAATCGCCCTGATGATGGAGGCAGTGGGTGAATGTTACCTGCCACAATCAGATTATTAATGACAATTCGCATTTGGTTCACGATATTGGCTTCTCCCCTGCTCTCTCTTTTTTAAATAAATACTGTTTATCTTACGAGTGAAATATAACAATCGTAGTTTAACCTAAATTTAGTTTGATGCCATTATACAAATACCAATTTTGCACTGAACCGATGTTTGTGCTAATGTTTACAGTCAGATGAAATTATAACGAATTCTAGCGTTGGGACAATTCCATGATTTGCAGTCACAACGAATTCCGAAGTCAAATAAGCCCGAGGGACTTTGCATTAATTTTATTACCCAGACGAACACAGCGCTCCATCCATGTGACGGCAAGGAGCAGTGGCGTATTTTTTGGGGGGGGGGGGGGGGGGAAAGGTGTAGGCCTATTTGACAACAGCAGGAACTGGTGACAACGCTTCCAAGAAACACATAACACGACAGTCAATGTGAATTCGCCGAGAATGCTAGACATTCTAGGATTTCGGAACAAGGCACTGTAAAAATGAGTCCGGTCTTGGTGATTTTCTTCAGTACTTCCAGTGTTTCAAAAAGGCCACCGTCCTTGCTACAGACTATTCGTAATTACTTTGTTGACGATACACTCGCTACAATTACAGAACCTCAACTGTGACCGCTATTCTGATCACGTCACAACTTTAGAACTTTCAACTCGAAGGGCACTGGCGGTGGTGTATTGTAGTTAATACTGAAAGGTTTTCGGACTGCATCCATCGCCACTGTATTTAGGGAGCTGTCTGCTTCCGCCTACATAACTGTTTTCGTTAGAGAAAGGCTTTTGCATTGGTGGGGGGTTAGCAAACTCTAATGGACACAATTGTGCTGGTACCTTCCACCTGAAGAAGGGGGCAGATACGGATCCCGAAACGTATTGCTCTGTTTGTGGAATACAGAAAGATGGTTGGAGTAAAAAACTATTAATACCAACTGTATGCCTAAGACACTTTTGACGTAAATACGTCTATATTTTAGGGTCAGTGTCACGAAACAGTGTGACGAAAAATTATGACGAAAATATGTGACGAAAAAGTGTGACGAAAATGTATAAGATGGTTACCTAGGAAACTTCATCTGTTTATCAACAAATAAACTACAATGGTTACCTAGGAAACGTCTATTTACTCGGCATTTTTGTTACCTATAAAACATTTCATTACGTTACCTTACATTACATTTCATTACATTACTTTACTTTACATTACATTCATCTACCACAGACCCATCTTAGGCGTAACTAATTCAAGTTGATTAAGCAATGTTTTAATCAAACTTTACGCAACTGTAAAGCGTGTATAAAGGAATTTTTTAGAATAAAGCCAATATATAAACTTCCTTTCCGTATAGACGTATTTACGTTAAATTCTCCGGAACCGTGGTTCCACTGTCAACTTTTTAATATTTTCCCTCTGTCTACATTTAGGTGTCCCACCCTCGGCTATCCTGTCTTTAACTTATCTGCCTTAACAATATACGGTGAAGAGTATCGATTCTTAAGTAATCTTCTTCGTGTTCTTATTAGGTTCTCTCTTTCCAGTGCAAATACTATACTACTCAACACTATTTTCTTCTTCTATCTGTATTTTATTCTTGGGGCATAATAACAACATATTTTTCCACTTTCATCACGCAAAAGCGCCCTCTTATCTACACCAAATAACGGTATAATAATGTACTGTACCTACCTAGCAGTCCTACGTAAACAAACGACATCGTATCCAGATATTTCATATTACCCTTCGAACCACACTGAGCCGGTAAGTACAAAAAAATTAAATTCGCCAGTATAAATTTAATCACAGTCAGTCAAACAGTTTCAGAGATGAGACAGACGGACAAACATGTTTGCCATTGTGCATTCTTGGACGTCCAGGCCGAGATTCGCGCCAGGGACCTCCCGAACACGGAGTACCAACCTCTGTAGAGCGACATTCGGTAAGGAGAATCAGCCAAATGCAAAGACTGTCATCACAAGGACAACAACCTATGTCCCAGCTGGAATACGGTCACGTGACTAACGTGTGCGTCCCTCATACCGTGCAATCGCCATTGCGTTATGACTTTTAAAGGTAAAGCTGTCTGTGTATCTGAACACCGCTCCTTGGAGACGTTGTGATAGATCTCCACTTTCTAGACCCCGCTGTTCATTGCAAGTGAATGATCAAAAGCTCTTTTAACCTGTGGGAAAATGTTGTACCGAATGGAGAGGAGACTGGAAGGACCCCAAAGATGAACAAAAAGAACTTTTCCGGCCGGGAATCGAGTCCTTCGTCCAAGCCGTAGAGTCTGAGCTATTCCGCCTCGTAAACTGCGATCTTGTTTCAAAATGATTCCTCCCTTTTCCTCTACATCACACAATTCTGATAAGCAGCTCTCCAACAAATTATTATGAGCGACTTTCCCCCCTCCCGACAGTAAAGATGGCAAAAACTTTTTATGGGTTTTTACAGTGTGTGTCCAAGCGAATACCGGTATAACACTCTGGGGGAAGCCACAGCACATTCTCCTGAATCATTCCGTACTCACTATCTATCATTTTCAGTCTCATTCGAAGCTCTATAACCTCTGCAGTTCAAAACAGCGCTATTAAATTACTTAAAAACCAAACCTTTCGTGAATTAATTTCCACAAAAGACAATGTTATGATTCTCAAATTTTAGCAAATAAGCTTTTCCTTCCCGACATATTTGTTTAAAATTCACACCGTCAGTGGGTCTTGTAGTCATGTGATATAATTCCAAATGTGCACAATGAATTAAATGTATGTATAGTACACAATTCCTGGCATTTCTTTGATTATCACGAGCGATATTTCAGTTTTAATTCGCGAACCAGTTGTAATGCTCAAGCCGTATGTTTCTCGGGTTAATTTATGTCTTAAACGCATTTCTTGTTGGCGAAACTGTAGGACAAAAAGGACTATAATACATTCTTTATCCCATCATAAATTTCCTGCATTCTTAATTAGTCTAATACTCATCCAAAACCTTCGCTTCACCGATAGCGTTCGTGTAACGTGATTCTAATATGACTGTACTTTTCCATGGAGGAAATAGTCATGGGAAGGTTCAGTAAATGGTGGGATGCCAATGAATAAACTAATGGTACGTAAGGCCGATATCCCTACTCCTTCTCAGAGGAATGTGGACCTTCTTCAAACTAAGGTTCTTGTGGAAAGAACCTTGACACACCTGCCGCCTATCGCTGCTTGACTCACCTGGTTGGGTTCATTTTCAAGGGCAGAAAAAATTGCCCAATGCATAGTGCCTCAAAGATATTGTACAACAAACAAGTATATTAACATATGCAATTATAGATTTAACAACAAAGCCGGTCTACATCATGTAATAAGGTACGTGGTTAAATAAAACTCTACAATAATATAGTTTATAAATTAAGCTGTACCTTATGCTTGAAATTTGTTAAATTATGAATGAAACGATCTTGAAATGTAAGTGTTCAGTACTAACGTAAATAATTTTTCAGCCGTAAATTTACTTCTTCAAGCCTGTCACACGCCATATTTTGACTTCTTTTGATTATCGCTACATCTAGCGTGACTTTTATCAACTATTTCACTAGCAGAAATTGTTGTGTTAAATGTTAGAAGACAGTAGGGTTATGAAGAATATAAATGCATAACCAAATATGATCGACAGATATGAAGAAATGACCCAGTATAGTTTGAATATAACTCTGTAATTAAGAAACTCTAAACCATAGATTACCGCTCTGGACTTTCTTTGGGAATTATTATGGATTGTTTATTATGTATTCTTTGTTAAAATACGTAACTGAAGGTTTACAGACCAATAAATTTAAAATAACCTACATTCCATTATATTTTCCATATTTTGGTACCCACATACGTATGTTGATGGAAGCATGCTTATATAACCAAAGTTCTGTTCATGGTTCAACATACTTTGAAAAGGATTAAGCATTGTTTTTATTATTATATTTAGTGTTTTTCTACAAAAATTTATTTATTTAATAAGTTCCGCGGACTTTGGCAGATTACTGTACCAAATAGGGTTACAATAATAAGGTCACTTCATTACTTAAGAATTGTTTGGTTTTAGTAGATGTAGTTTGTTAAATATTAAACTTGACTTGTAGCAGCTTGTCAATACTTGATCATTTTAAGCTATTTGGAAGGCGAATGAAGAAAGACTGTCCTATCACAATTGGTGACCATATGTAGGCTTCAAGTTCATGGCTGTTTGTATAGTAATGTTGGTTCCTGGTATGATGTGGGTTTATACCTTTATTTAGTGGTAAGAGACAGTAATTTTGGTTACACACTGTAGTTTCATAGATGTATACTGAAAACAGGGACATTGTCCTCAGTTTTATGAACATGGGTCTGATTTAAATAACTAAGTAGCAAGATTTAAAATAATTAAATTTAGATATATTTTATTTACTCCTTGCAGAACTCGGAACTGAAGGACAACTGAATGGTGGCATCTTCAACTCCCAGCCTATTGAGGCGACTCCTTCCATATGCTGTCTTCTTGACAGCTTTCTCTGTTGTTATGATGGTGCTTCTTATGGCCATGGACATAAGAGGTATTTCCAGTTACAAATTAAAGTGTCAGTTATAACTATTTACATCTCATTTTGTTACTAATCAGAAATTATAGAAAGTCACAGAGTATGTGAATTTAATTTAATTGAATATTTAATACTGCTATACCAGCTTTATAAATTATGATTATCATGTATTTTGTTTTATTTATGGTTTGACCCACATAAAATAGGAAAGCTTAGTAGGAAGAAGAAAGTGGTTTTTAAAGTATTCTTTGCATGATGTGCATGAAGTAAAAGCAATATAGCTGACCATGTCTGTTTGTTTGTCCACATGATTCAACTCAAGAACCACTGGATGGATTTTTGGATAAAATTTGGTATGAACGTTATGCCATTGGAATCTACCCAAAAATAAAACATTTTTAATTTCCTAGTTATTAAAAGCAACGTGGTAAATGAACAGACTTATGAGTTAGGATCAACACTAATACTGCTTAAAGTAGGACTATACAATGATGTAGGGTGATATGAATTTAAGAAAATACTACACAACTTTAGGGAAATAATTCTTTGTATAACATAAAATAACAACATGGCAGCTAAAAACAAAAAAAACTTGACTTCATTGGGATTCAATTGCATCGCCACATGTGTACGAGTCTAATACACTACCAGAGAACTGATTCACATTGTGTTGGATTGATGCTGATTTACCTAAATAAGACACTAAGAACATTGATTTGATATATTAAGTTTTCTAAGTATGATAATTGACATTATTTATAAATAATCATTCTTTAAAAACTAACAGGACAAGAGACATTTTAACTTATATCATAAGGTAGGCATTGCATTCGCTGATCAGTTTGTAATACAGAATCAAGGACCTCTGAATCTATGCTGTTCTGTCAGCAATCTGTTTCCATTAAAGGACTGAATCAGTGGAGAAGAAAGAAAGCAATTATTAAAATGTATGTTCATGTATTTCAATGAAAACTGTAAAAGTATATAGATAACATCGACCAGACTACACAGCGCAACAACCCAGAAGACAGAAATCCTGATACACTTATGATTATACATTATTTCATTCTGAATTTTTGTCATTATCCTACATGGTTTCTCTCTTTCAAAGCAGTTTCTTTTGTTGAAGTATTAAGAATTTTTAAATAAATCAGAATATGAATAAATACGTACCTATATCCTTTCATATTCCTCCACAGTCAGCACTTTGGCAACAGTACCCACAGACTATCAATTCATGTAGTAGTCTGTAGGACTTGTGTTACACCTATATAACTATAGAACTCTTCCTCGTAGCACCAAGACGGCAAGCCTTCAACATGACTGATCTGGACTTTCGGAATGTGGCCCAAGACAACCCTCAATTCATCACCTACATACGAGCAGTACATCTCCATTTGCCCTCTTCATCACTTGGAATGAGGAACTTAGTTGTAGATCCACCACCACAGACAGAATTTGTGGCCAGACTTCTCCAGTTTAAGGTAAGTCTCTCTTTCTATAATTGTAACAAGAGGACATGCTCAGACTATGTTATAAAGAGCTGACAAGTTCACTATATTTCTGTGATTATTCTCTTTGACATGATGTCTGTGACACCCCAGGAATAGTGCTTCCAGTACCAATTGATATAAAGCTGAGTGAGTGGGTCCAACAGACATTCTAGTAAAGAGAAAAGTCTCACCTTTCAGAGAATAAAATACTGGTTATCCACCACACATCATCATCATCATCATCCATTGCTGTTTCCAGCCTGGTGCTGGGTCCGCTTGGTAAAGCCCCTCCATCTCTTCCTGTCCCTCCACCACTCCTCTTCTTCCACCAACTGCCACTGAGCACCTCTCTCCATCACTCCTCGTTTTATCTGCTCCTCCGACCTTCTTCGTGGTCTTCCCCTTGGTCTTGTGCCAGTCACTCTCATATCCAACATTTGTCGTGCTGTCCGCCCTTCTCCCATTCGCTTCACGTGTCCATACCACTTCATTCTTGCTTCTTCTACTCTCTCTACCAGACCCCTCACATCCATTCATTTCCTAACTTCTTCATTCCTACTCTATCCCTCCTTGTTATACCCAATGCACTCCTCAAACACTTCATACCCATTGCTTCCGCTTTCCGTACTGTACCTGGGTCAATTTTATACTTTCAGAAAGGTGGCATATTTGTTGAAGCTGGTGCCTATCGACACAACAGATCATCTGACACTGAATGGCTTGAAAGAGAACTGAACTGGCATGGTCTGTTGATCCAACCCAATCCTAAGGATTATCTTATTCTGCGAGCCCAGAACAGGCTTCGGGCCCACTGCATACATGCTTGTCTTAGTCCAACACCATACCCAAAAGAGGTTTGTATTTCTAATTTGGCATGCCAAGTATTTCTTAACATATTTCATACCATGTAGTTTTGTGCCTGCCTGCATCAGCCATACACTTTGTAGCAGTACACGTTGCAATGCCTATTCTTTAAACTAATACAACTTACAATCTATCTGTTAGATTTTGTTCACATTTTAAGTGCTTATCTTGTTACATGCATAGCAATGTCTGAGAGTAATATTTTATGAAATACATTCATGTGTATACAGAAATCTGTTGTCCTAGCCACAAATTTTCAGAAAGATAAGAAATTTGTCTCCTTCAAATTTATTTTGCTGTTATTTCTGTTTAACATCTGATAATTTTCTGTTATATGTCATGACAGACATATTAGTTTCCTATACAGCTATCGGAAACAGACATGTCAAGAGGTGAAGTCACTTAAGTTGTCTCTATAATAATGCATTCAGCCTGTGTCTATTTGCTGATTATACAAACTGATTTATCATTAGTTTGATCATGTAATATTAACACTGCCATAGTGAACTGTAGTATGTGTACCTTTAACCATTCATGTCGAACATATGAGAATGTAGTAAAATGAAATTCCTCCTGTCATTTGTAATGCACTAAAACAGTATATACAGGACATTTTATTAACTGGTCTGATAATGATAGGATGAATGGATATTAAAAACTGTGCCAAAACGTTAGGCCAAGACAAAAAGTGTTGATTTGAGTTGTGTGAAAATTGATTATCCATTCAAGAACTAAAATAGTATTATGCTACATGAAATCAGCAACTGGTACAAGTGATATAGTTTCATAAAATAATTAAATGAGCAATAAACAATATATTTAAGATGCTGCTATGTAGAAAGTGTCTCCTTTTTTTTTCAACAGAAATATCAGGAACAGTCACATTCATCATGACACATATGCCCTCTTTACAGGTCACATTTCGTGAAGCTATAGAAGGTCCTGACAGGAATCAGGAATATGTGTTTACACGGGTCAAATGCTTCCCTCTCTTCTCTCTACTTCTAGCAATCAATGCAACTTCTTTCAACTACCTCAGCCTGGATGCAGAAGGGGCAGAAATACAGGTACCAAAATTGGCTGGTTTAAGGTTAACACAAGTGTACTGGTTATTTCTACTGTTAACACATTGAATGTGCCAAACTCACACATAATTTAACACCATCTAAATTTATATAATTGCATTTCCTCTGCACCAGATGTACCAGTTTCCACAACAGGTATATCAGTTACGCCTTGCCATCTTTTGGAATTATGTACTGGAATTTTCTCTGCTGCAGTTGTAATAATCAGGTTCACACCACTTGGGTGACAGAAGCTTTATGGAAACAGAATCCACCATGTGAAAGTGAGACCGCCATTAAAGTAGGAGGGCCTTAAGAGACATGTCCTCCCCTTTGCAATTTCCACTTCATCTTGAAGCATTAAACATTCTTTATATCTGCACTGTGTTTCAGTGAGATGGTCTGCTTTCTTTGTTTCATAGACGTATCCTATCATTTCATCTCATTCCTAATGTTGTTCTTACAGGTGCTGAAAACCATTCCCACAGACAGAGTTCATGTTGATATAATTGGAGTAGCCAGGAGTGAAGAGGACAGAAACCCTGAATCATCTAGAGCACTGTTAGAATTCATGGGAAGTCGCAAATACAGTCTGGTTCACAAATTCAGACATATGTACCTGTTCACATCTGCCAACTTCCTAACCTAACCTATCTAATAGTTGACATTTCACAATTATAGTTTAGCTATGTCACATGTATGTTAAAAGTATTATTCTTCATTAAATAGCAATTATATTGCACCAAAACAAAAAAACAAACTAGACGGCTAGAGTTGGTTATATATATTTTCCAAAGAGTTACGAATTCTGAATCTCAGCAGGGAAAAGAGTGATGTATAACAGTGAAATGAATTTGTCCCACCTTCTTACAGATATTCATTTCACAAGAACATAAATTTGTATTATTCTGATAGTCTCAATATTATGTTTTATAAAATCTGTTCACATTTTATACTTGTCTGTTTACCACAAGTAATGTATTTATATTCCTGTATAAGTTCCATATTTGGAGATATATGACATTTTCTTTTTCATTTCAGAAATGTGTGTCTTTTACACTGAAGATTGTGATCTTTTATTTGTGTATAGTAGCTGTTGTGAACCCTCATCTAGAGTATATATAATGCAGGATGATTTTAGCAAAATTACTGAGTTGAAAAAGTGTCTTATACACTGGCAAGTATGGTTTGCATTATAAATATTATAATTGTTATTATTATTATTATAGGGATATTACCATGATATCTGAATAAGACTACACGTGTAGAAGTAAAAATCTGTTAAATTCCACTTCTGCAAGTACATCCTGAGATTCACAAGCAACTGTTTGTCTTGTCATGTAGACAATACAAATGTCTTACTTGGCATACTGAGGATTGGGCATATTGAGTATGGTACATGATAACCATATCAAAAACCAATGAAAATTCTCCATCCGTAACTATATGTATATTTACAAGACATTGCTGTTGAGTCATTAGCACTACTCGTGCTTCATATTTGTAGTGTCTTCAGTTAGAATATGAGCTCAGAGACCAACTTTCCTGACTGAAGTTTCACACAGTTTTCCATAGTTCCTCCAGGTGAATGCTGGAATAGTTCCTTCTCCAGCCATTGACATATGTTCAAATTCATCATTCACAATCATCTTCCAATTTGATACTATATAACATACAAAGTTGAAAAACTGTCACTAAATAACCCAACAATCAATCAAATATATAGTTAATTATCTGCTCATCTAACACCAATATCTGGTGTACATATCAGGATGTAAAATTATATATCTGTAAAGAAATACAGTAGAATTGAATAAGTACTTTTCACATGTATGGTTTAATGAAGGAAAGAACAAATGTTTATACAGGAAGTTAATATTTTCTCTTTATGTACTTAGAAAGGTTGAGAACGAAGTGTATGAACCAAATAATATCCATATCTGTATCCGTCCATAAAACATTCCCGTACAAAAACAAAGAACTGAAGTTTTAGATTCATGTAAGCAACACTTCTTTCCTTACTCCAGGTTATTATAGAAAGACTGACACATGCATTAATAATGCCTATAATTTAATATTTATAAATGCTTATTAAATGATTTTCATGTAATTACGTAACTGAGTGAGAACCAGTTTCTATTTCAAGACAAGAGATTAATTTAAAAGTATCGTTAACCCTTTCCACACTGACTTTTATTTAAAGAACTATATTCTGTTGTATATTTCCATGGTAATTTTTAATTACTTTAATTTGGATAAATTCCTTTCAATTCAGACCAATGAAATCAGCAGTGCAACTGTAACATTAGCAGTATAACTGTTTTTTATAATTGTTGTAATACTTGCAATGTCATGGCACTTACTTTGAATGTTGAAGACACGGCAAGAGAACTTTCCTATCATTTGGAGTCCATAAAAATACATTTTGCTTGTTTCTGTCAGTAATGACAAGTTCATACAGTGTTGAGGTCTTCCTGTCACACATTATGTAAATGATCAGTTATGTATAAAAGTCACTTGATTTCAAGACACAGATGAGTTCTTCACTACTTTCATAAATCAACTCTAATATTTACCATCATTGGCAGATAGATTTCTGTTCTGTCAGCTTGAGATTATGCAATTAAACAATGCCACTGCTACAGTTCAGTTAGTTTTGTTTTCACTGCTGCAAATGTTTAGACAATTGTCAGTGAACAGTCCCAATATGAAATTAATTTTTATTTAAAAACAAGAAACAGAATTTGCGGCCCTAGGTAGCTACTTGCTTCGCCTGCACTGTCAGACAGACAGACAGACTCAGTGTGACACTTGACTGGAATATGATATTCTGAATGTCAGACCAGGGTCCAACAAAAAATTGAAGTTCATTTATCCACACATCCAAACAATGAAGGTACATTTTAGTTTATTTTCTAGGTTAAATTGTTACATATTGTTAAAATGTGCCTGACACAGAACCAAATGACCTGTAAGGGTTCTCAAGCATTTCATGGCCTGGGGCCACATTCCCCTTCTTATTGGCATGAGGGCCACAGGGTTTATAAATGAGGACAGTTTATTAAAAACGCTACTAACCTACAGGTTCACACATTACTCGATAATTCTGTTTAACTGTATCAGTCATAAGTGAGACACTTGACACTGTTTAATTTGTCAATATCAGGTTGAATTTCTGTTTCTGAGATTCACATGCATCTCTACAAGACATGTCCTACTTCTTGCTTTGACGTTCTTCATTAAGCTGAACAGATGCACACAGCAGTAGGTACTGCCCAACACCAATGACTTTAAAAAATCAGGTTTTGTGGTTTCAGGATACTTTTGTAGAGATGTATTTTGAATGGAAATCAGTAAGCGATGAGTCACAGAATTTTTTCCTTTAGTGTTAAGCAACTCTGAAAATCAGCAAATTCCAGTTGTATGTTCCTTGGTGTAGCATCAATATACACAAAGAATGAGAATAAAACATCTTTATTAATATTTTTCTTACTTTCAAGTAAGAAAATCCATCATTAAATTCCTTTCCTGAAGTCCTGATGTAGTTACAGTAAGTCCTTATCCATTAGCTCTGAATCATCATTTTTGATATCTGTTGGTTACCATTTAATATCATTGTTTCCATAGTCATTTCCAGTTCCCATTATGTCAATTTTTTAATTGCATATAAAAAATATTTAATTTGGTTGAATTAGTTTCATCATACAGAGTAAAATCACAAAAATGTATGCAGTCTGGAAGTTGAGAACCCCTGTGTTAGACCTTCAAGTAAATTAACATTATTTTATGTTATGAATATTTATCCATATGACATGTTTCCAAAGACGTGAACAGCAAATACTACAGTGGGCTTCATAAATATATGAAATAGAACTGTGATACATTGTTCACTTCATCAGTTTTGCATTTTTCTTGTATTCATACTAAAGCTCAAAATAAAGCACTGAAAATAAAACACATCACTGAAGACAACAAATAAAGCACTGGCCCAAAATAAGCCTTAAACCCTTCAGAATGTACACTATTTGACCTGCCTGTGTCTTAGTTTAGCTCAATAACCATTTTCAGGTCTGTCAAAGGTAAAATATGACAATTTGTGATCTCAACATAGTTTGTGATAGCTTAGAACAAATCAACTCCTGAAGATGAATAATCTGAAGCCCAGCAACATTTCATAGCACAGAAGGAAAAAGTGGTTTCAAAATGCTTGAATAATTTTGGATTCAAGTTACGAGGGACAGCAGACCCAGCCGTCTACCTTGAATATAGAAGCATTATGATGACATTCAGCTTTGAAGGTAGAGACTGTATGTTTGTCTGAAATGTTGGCACCTACAGATGAGTCTACATGATGCCAAAACCGAGAACATCATCCTCACCACCGTGAAAACCTCAAATCTCATATGGAGGCTGCGTGTTCCTCCAAAATACTGACAACCACCTACATCACATGGTGTCACAACCAAGAAGACAACCAACTGCTGTAAGAACCTAAAATCTCAAATATAGGTTATTAAATTAAATAATTGAAACTGTTGCTCTTTACAATATTTTGCTTGAATTTGGTATACCCAAGAAGCTAGACAGGCTAATTAAACTGTTCAAGTGAAACCTCTAACGAAATCTGTGTAGGTAAACATTTGTCCGATACATTTCCTATTCAGAATAGCCTGAAACAGAGATGCTCTATTGCACTGCTTTTCGATTCTGCCTTAGAATATGTTATCAGGAAAGTTAAAGAAAATCAGGGCAGTTTGGAACTGAATGGGGCACATCAGCTTTTAGTCTATGCTAATGATATTAATCTGCTGGACAATAATATAAATACTATAAAAGGAAAAACAGAAACACTCTTAAGGGCTAGTAGGATGCTTGTCTAGAAAGTACATGATCATGTCTCAGCATCAGAATTCAGGACAGAACCAGAATATAAGAATAGGCAATGAATCGTTTTAAAATGTGAAAAAATTCAAGTACTTGGGGACGACACAAACAAGTCAGAATGACACTCATGATTAAATCAAGGGAAGATTAAACTCAGGGAATGCTTGCTATCATTCAGTACAAAATCTTTTGCCTTTCCGTCTCATATCAAAAAAACAGATTAAAATATACAAGAGTGTAATTATGCCATTTATGCTGTATGGGTGCAAAATTTAGTATCTCACTTTGAGGGAGAACATATATTGAGGGTCTTTGAGAACCGAGTGATGAGGAACATATCTGGACCAAAAAGGGAGGGGGGCAGTTCATGGAGAAAATTGCATAATGATGAGCTTCACAGCCTGTACTCCCCACCTGATATTGTTAGGGCAAAGGTTCCCAAACTTTTATACCTTGCGTCCCCCTTAAAACATTTCATGAATTTCATGCCCCCCCTTCCAGAACAAGTGCAAGCAAACAGATTTGACATAAAATTTAGCTATGAGTATACATTTTTTTATAATTTACTATATATTATTCAATGCATTTAATTTAAAAAAAAACTGTAATAAAATATACGGCCTAAATTCTACAGCACTGTAAGACAACTAAATTGCCTCAACCAAGCAAAGGATGTTACAAATGTTTCTCCATATTTCGTTAAAAAAGTATTTCATACAAACAACACGACCCCCCCCCCCCAAGGGGGTGCACCCCACACTTTGGGAACCTCTGTGTTAGGGTGATACAATAAAGGACTGTGAGGTGGGTGTAACATGCAGCATGCATGGGGGAAGAGAGTTTACAAGGCATTGATTGTGAGGCCTGATGGGAGGAGACCGCTGGGAAGACCTAGGTGTAGGTGGGAAGATAACATTAAGATGGACCTTAGGGAGACATGAATCGATGGAGTGAACTGGATGCAGCTAGCTCAATAATTTGAGCATGAACCAGATTAGTGTTGGAAAAAGTTTTATTTTGACGGAGTATGGATAACATACTAGAGATAATCCTCAGTCTAATGTGGGTAAAATTCTAAAATGTTTGCCCATGAATGACCTTATAAGCCACTATATAGTCACAATCTTGGTCAAACACAGAACCACATTTTAGCTGGGCCGCAGGGTAGTAAAAGAATATATTTGCTATGTAAAATTTGTAATATAATACAATCAATATACACCTCTGAATTTCACAATAGTACAAAATAATGATATATCTAATAATACAATAAAAGTTGGAATTCATAATATTCTGAAATAAATCAGATAAAAGCATAAAATAATGAAGCACAGTAGACAAGGTAAGCAGCTTCTAGCAATGTATGTATATTCACTCAGTAATGCATGTGCAATTTTCAACTCATGTAAGAAGCATTCTACTTCATCCAGCCTTTTGTCAGACTAAGTCTGATAATTTTAAAATCCAAACAAAATTAACTGAATGTACAGAAGCTTATGACACAGAATCTTAATAACTACAACAATTATTATTAAATTATCAAAAATAAACATGCCCTGGAATGTTTTCAAAACTACTCTTACAGAATAACCAAAATGTTCAATGCTACCAATATCTGTCCTGCCTCCCATTCTCACATCTACATATTTTCCAATTCTGCTTATCCTCACTCTTTTAAGTGGCTGCTTTCCAAGCACCTTCTAAACCAAATTTCTGTATGCATTTGTTTCCCCACATCCAAGCTACATGTCAAGCCAACTTTTACTTACAAAATTTCCCTACCCTAACAAATAGTTGACCCAAGAAAAAAAATTCTCTTTATTAATTTACAAAACATACAAAATATTTCAAGAATAACATATGTCAACATTATAAAATTAAAACCATGTATAACAGTTCCCTAAACCCTGTTAAACTTCCAAGCATATATTTGTATTTTCTTTTTCCTAATGAAGGAAATAACCACAACATGCAAATATTATAATAATACAGACACTTCTACAAGAACAGTTTAATGCATGGTACCAGTGAAAGCACAATAAAACAACTGATTGGAAGAAGAATAAAATATTACATCATTAAACCAGAACAATTCTACTCATTGCTAGAAGCCAGCTAACATGTATCATAATGTAATACAAAAACTAGTATATAGTATCTCCCAACCACATCTATTTTACGTAATATTAAAAGAAAACATAACATGATAAATAAGGAGTAACATTTCACAGCTTTAATGTTATGGTACATGTCTTCTATATGAAAAAGTCTTGACATCTTTATAGGTTTAATGTAAAAAGACACAATATGTTATATAGCACTCTCAACTCTTCAATCTACTGAGATTACAAATCATTACATGAAAAACATACTTCACACAATATTATATACTTAACTACGGCAGGTAGAATGAAAAATATATTACTTTTCCTACCTTAATTAAAAAGAACACAACACAAACTGGCCTTAGTGTCAGGTAAGGATTGTTTTTGACTAATAGCTGAGGCTATGTCTGTTAATCAATCAGCATATCAAACCTCACTATTTTTGGCACAATTTCTTATTAGTAGATTCTCAAGAATATTACAGATGTACTGCAGATTATAAACATTTTTAAGCTTTGATGGTGACTAAACACAATGAAGTCTTTTCAGACAACGAACCACATGAATAAAATTCTGACTTTCGGAGACTGTGTCCCATCATCAGGGACCAACACGACAAGTAACACAAACCTGCCATTAATGAAGCATTTTAGGAACCGAGTTTTATGATCCACACTGAATTTTCTGTCATATACAGTAAAACCCCTCAAGTTGAACAACCCTTTATATTGGACACTTTTAATTGGAACTGGCGAATATCCTATAATTTTACATGTCCACAATACCTTGGACACCCCTTTATCCTGGAACTTGAACACCCCTTTTGTTGTAAGTTGGTCAGGTTCATGCACTTAGCTTCGATGCTTTTCAGGGAAACTTTTTCAGTTACATCTTTTGTTATTTTGAATTTCTGACTGATGAATGCCTCCTCTCTGGAGGATTATCTTATGGACATTGAACACATCATTGGAATGCATTGCAAGTGTTTAACTATTCTTTTGCTGAACCCTTAACTGGACTACAGTATTGCAGAAAAGACAGTTTTAACTCCATCAGTACTGTGCTTACATTTGAGTTCAGACTGTGTTAACAGAAATGGAATTTTTCTTTTTGCGATGGGGAAGTGAAAATTGGTGGAATTAACTTCAGAAAATGTTATTGAGGCTGGGGTGTAATGTGCAATGCATGGGAGTGGGCTTCAAACGATTATTATTAATACTATTGTCATTAATTCTTAATTCAAGTAAGCCTACAGTAGTTAGTTCATGTAAGTAAATAGATTACATTGCCATTACACCACAATCTGAAAGGATGATTTTTCCCTTTATCTTGGACACCTCTGTAAGTTGGACACGTTTTCGTGGAACCCCAAGTGTCAAACTTAGAGAGGTTTTACTGTATTCTAAAAATAACAACCAAGCAAGAATACATAAATATACAACTTCAGCTTTTGGGGATGTCTGAAAATTATCCAACTTTTGTCAAATTTTGCCCATTTCAGGGCTAAGTGATCAAAGAAGAGGTGAAAAGTTTTGGGGACACACATAAGGAGGAAAGTTTAGTCAGTGTTTGGGGACAGAGGTGGTTGGTATGGCATGGGGGAAAACAGGTGAAGCCATGTTTTGATTAATCTGTAACCATCTTCAGTTAAAATTATGAGGGTGTTTGTTAATTTCAACTGTTTCCTTGATTATGCGAGGATGGTAGCTCCAGATGTTTTGTCAAAGATGATACTGTGCTTGATTGTTGTAGAATGTTCAGCTACTGGTGATTGCTGGTTCTCCAGCCTCGTGTCCCTGATGTGTTCTGAAATCCTTGTGAAGTGACAGCCAATTTGGCCAATGTGCACCTTACCACAGGAATATGGGATCTTGTAAACACTCAATTCATAGGCCAGGAGTTTCCCGTCTTCCATGGATTTGAATTTGGGTGCCATTCAGTTCAGTGTTTCTGTATTGTGTTCATGTCAAGCTTCTTCAGTAGCTTGTAAATCAATCAGTGGTTCCTTGGATACATGGAAGGTATGCTCTGTGGTTTGTCCTTTTCTTGGCAGGTCTGGGTTTGGATGTTCTGTTGATATCCTGCATGGAGTAGCCAATGACTCAGAAAATTAACTGAACAAGTTGTAGTTCCAAAGCCTGCCCGCCCTTGTCACAGATAGGATTCTTTGTCCACCAAGATGGTGATGATGGACCTCTTGTAAGCTGGTGGATGGCATAATGCTGCCTGTAAGTCTTTGTGGGTAGCTTTTCTATAGGTGACATAACCCATTGAGTTATCCAGGTGTCAGTTGACTAGGACATCCAGAAAGGATAGATGGTGATCCCTTTCCAATTTCACAGAAAATGCAATAATGGGATGCCTGGAGTTCAGGTGGCCAGGGAAATCCTTAGCAGCAGCTTGTTCATGTGGCCACCATTCTACAGCAAATACAGCGTTAACACTGACTAAACAGAAGTCATAACCAACATCTGCATCTACCACCCCCACATAATCAGGGAAGCAACTGAAATCAACAAAACCCCCATAACTTTAGCCATGAAGATGGTTACACATTAAGCAAAGCCTCATTTCACCTGTTGTGTCCCATGCCACCCACACAACCACCTGTATCCCCAAACATCAACTATACCTTCCTCCCCATCTGTGCCCCAAAGACTTCTCACCTCTTCTCATATCACTGGCCCCTCCATTTTCCATCCCCTGTTCTTCATACCTCATGGTCAAAGAATCATATTTCCTATCCACATAGATGCTGAAAAATCCTTTCTGATTCACAGGGTCACCAAAACTTGTTTTACTACCTCTTCTTCTCACCAAATTTCCCTTAAACAAATTTGTCATCACCTCTTTTCCTCAGCTGCCTGTTTGTCTTCTATTGGACAGCATTCCACTCTTCCACTCCAGCAATCAGCACCATCAAATCCAACTCTCCACCTACTGCATGCCCTATATACGGTGGCCAAAATTCCCAAGCAAATGCATATTGTGGCAAGAGGGCGGATGGACTAGTCTCCCCTGTGCTGTTCAGTCTGTATGTCCTGTGGTCCATTGCTTCTTGTCGGATATCTGGAGGCATATCCTGGTAGACTGGACCTCTGGCTACAGTCTTGGGAAATTGTTATCAATGTCTTGAAGAACACTGCTGTGCTCTTCCTTAAGGCCGAGAGATGCATCCAAAAGCCCAAAGTAGTTCAGTTTCTCGGACAGCTGATACAGTGGGTTCAAACAGTGTAGCATCTTGGGGTGACCTTTGACATTGGGCTTACCTGGTGGGAAAGAGGCCAGCTCAATGATTGGGTGTGCTTGAGCCCCTCCTTAACATGAGAAGCGGTCTGTCCGTCAGAAACGAGGTGCTACTCTACAGCCACGTCCTGTGGTTTTAAGCGTTACGATTCAAGTGTCACAAGGATTTGGAGACTCCATTCTTCGCCGGCCATAACAGAATATTGACTGAGAGCTTTGACTCAAAGTTAGCAGATGCAGAGAACCCCTCAGTCCGGCAACTTGGAAGGCACGTGTGAAGACCATGGGCTGAC